GTCCCTCTCCCGAATTCTCCTCCTGGAGCGATCAGCGGCTCGACGGCGAAGGATCCCGCAATCCATTATTGTAGCAAGGGGCGAACGGTAGTTGTGAGAGAAATTGGTGAGTGTGAAACCCTCTTTGACATTGTTCTAGGCATTCATTTGGATCCTCACACTTTTGTTTGATGTTTGCCTTGATTTTGTGCACTTTTTGTTTCTGGTCTTCCTACCAGGCATCGAACTTGTGTCAGAAGCGTCAAAACTTAATTTGCGAGCTTCCGTGAGAGCTTTCGCACAATATGAACGAAGGGGAATGGAGTTTTGAGGTGTTAGGAAGATTTGGGGAGAAAATTAAGCGGTATCGGAGATATGAAATTATGTTGAAAAGCCCATTTAAGGTATGTTTTGACAAATAAGTCATGTTTTGGGTTTATGATTTTCAGGTTATTTACACGAGGCAGCGAGCTAGAGATCAGCGTGTGGAAACTCCTCGTAAGGCTACTCCATTAAGTCAGGCGAAGTAATCTCGTGCTTAGTTTTAAAAAATAACCTTATGTAGATTTTATGTGATTATGAAATCGACATTGTTGTATTAAAACTTCTTGCATAACGTAGATGATTATCTGCTTGGAATGTATGAATGACAGCTGGTTTCTTTTTAAGATACATACAATAATATTATATCATGATACATATAACTATGCTTATGAAATAATTATCTGCATGTATTCATCTGTTATGACTCATGCATGTGATGTATGAAGTGTCTATGAATGTTTGTTACATATATTATGCTTTAAGAAATGTCATTAAGAATGTTATTGGTAGACTATTACATAAGTACTTGCCAGTACGCTATGCAGAGATATGATATTATAGTAACAAAACTCTGAAAATCATTGTGATCAGACGGTAATGACGAGGAAATGTTTGTATCAGATGAGCTATTGATAATTGTTATGTTGAGAGGGGGCAATATTTACCGATAGATTATATAGCCTTTAGGACAGGATAACGACCCATGATATGACCAGACAAAAATAATTGAGGCTTGTATATTTAAAAGTGATA